CTTCCTTCCTTCCTTCCTTCCTTCCTTCCTTCCTTCCTTCCTTCCTGAATCATAGGACTGCAAGGGACCTCAGAGTTCTAGTCCAACCCTGTTTTTTTGTGTTGCCTTCTGGTCAGTGGTGGGATTCATTTTTTTTTACAACTGGTTCTGTGGGCGTGGCTTGGTGGGCATGGCAGGGGAAGGATACTGTAAAATCTCCATTCCCACCCCACCCCAGAGGAAGGCTATACTAAAAAAATCCCCGTTCCCTCCCCACCCCCATTAACCTGCTTTCCAGCCCCATTCTCCTGTGCAGGGCAACCAAAGGAGACCCAACTGATCAGCTGGGACTCAATGGGAGGCAGAGAAGAGATGGGGTTGGCGGGGCCAGTCAGAGGCGGCATTGGCTGGTTCTCGGCATCACTCGAAATTTTTGCTACCGGTTCTGCAGAACCGGTCCGAACCTTCTGAATAGCCACCTCTGATCCCTGTGGTTGCCAAGCTCACCTAGCTAAAAGGGTGACACCCTTTTAGATACAACACACATGTATTTCTAGAAGGGTTTTTTTGGCTGCCACCAATGCCGGAAACCACATTTTCTATGCACGCACAACCTTCAGGGGAGACAGTTCCTCTCTCCAGGTAATTAAATACAGGTTGGTGTTCATCTTAACTCGGATTGCGTCGAGAGATGGATTGCAACTTTGAGCTCAGGAACCAGCCCCTAGCAGGGGAAGCATTGAGATCTGACTATTTTTGGTTTTTTCCTTAAAAAAAAACAAACGAAGAAGAAGAAGAAGAAGAAGAAGAAGAGGAGGAGGAGGAGGAGGAGGAGGAGGAGGAGGAGGAGGAGGAGGAGGAGGAGGAGGAGGAAGAAGAAGAAGAAGAGGCGGAGGAGGAGAAGAAGAAGAAGAGGAGGAGGAGGAGGAGAAGAAGAAGAAGAAGAAGAAGAAGAAGAAGAAGAAGAAGTAGTAGTAGTAGTAGTAGTAGTAGTTGTTGTTGTTAAAAGTTTTAAAAACCGGCCCAGCCTTTGTGCCTTTGGCTTTCCCCATGCGTAGGGTGAATTTTTCTGCGGTTTTTTTTTTCCTCACCAGAAATGTATGCCGTTAGTTCTCCACTGACAGCCTCCTTGAGGAGTTGACAGTGAAATTTTCCAGTCGCTGCTCTTCGTTAGGATCCTGGCGCTGTCTTAACAAGGCAGCCGAGCTGCCTTGCCGCCGTCTTCGCCTCGTGTTTGTTCTCGCAGGGCTCGGGGCGGCTGCAAGTCAGCGCATCGACCAGGGCTGATCATTACAAGGGCATCGCGCTACCATGAATAAGAATGTCACAGGCGCTCCTCCCGTCTCGCAGTGGTACAAAATGTCAGCTCTGTCAAACACACGCTGCAAGGAGCAGGGAAGCGGTTGGTACAAATTGGAAAGCCGAATATTCCCTCGGCTTTCTGATATTCTCCATTTGAAGCTGGAGAAAAAGAGTTGTTAACCTATTAGCTGTGGCGGTTTTTTTGTTTTTTTGTTTTTTAAAAAAATGCCCGCTGGAGTCCCGGAATGGACAGTTTTCTGGCGTGTTTGGGGGAGGCAGGGGGTGGGAAGAACGGCCTCTTGAAAATTTGGGGAGACCCCAGCCCCCCCCTCCCTACTTTTGGTTTTTTCCTTAAAAAAAACAAAAGAAGAAGAAGAAGAGGAGGAGGAGGAGGAGGAGGAGGAGGAGGAGGAGGAGAATCATGGAAGGGACGTCCTGGGAGAGAGCGGTTGGCTTCTCTTGGGCTGTTTGGGGAGGTTTTGCAATGATTTTCCCAAACCTCTCGCAGCCTGGTTGTCAAGTTTTTGACCGACAAACCCAACTGAAGCCAGCCACCCCCGAGATCATCCAGTCTCTTTATGAAAAACTTACCTCCAGAAGTTTTAAATGCTCCAACACTGGAAGTTTTTAAGAAGAAGTTGGATAACCATTTGTCTGAAGTGGTGTAGGGTTTCCTGCCTAAGCAGGGGGCTGGACTAGAAGACCTCCAAGGTCCCTTCCAACTCCGTTATAATATTCCATTCCATTCTATTCTATTCCATCTTTTATTCTATTCGTTCTCTTCTCTTCCCTTTCATCTTCTCTTCTTTCCTCTCCCCTCATCTATTCCAATATTTCTATTCTATTCTTTTCTATTCTATCCTTTCATGAGTTCATCACGTTGGCATGGTTGAAGGCAAAACCAGTTCTAGATCTTTCCCACGCTAAGTCCTATAGTTAAAAGTTCAAATCCTTCCATCACCACCCATAATCATTCCAGGTCAAAAATGGTTTTCATTTTTGTCACCCAGTTTTCGGGTTGTCCCTCCTTTTGCATCCTTTCTTTAATGGTTCTGTTCCACTATTTCTTAGGATATAAGATCCTTTGCAGTTCTTTCAAGTTCCGCTTAACTATTCTCCTGCAGGGAGTTGGCTGCAGCGAGTTTACCGTGGCAAGTTGGCCCACGCAAGTTGGCTGCAGCAAATTGTCATAGACCCCCTTCAAGGGGTCAGAGCGTGCTACCCTGATGGAGCCGCCTCCGCTGGGTCCATGGACCAGCACCAGACTGAATTGGCATTAAAGTTGGCCAGGCGGCTCCGGGTGAGGACTTGGGAGCAGCAATTCCATTAGTAACGAGGAAGAGGTGGAATCCACACCTCCTCCCGATCAAAGGACACATAGAACAGAGAGGAGGCAGGCACAACGTTGATCAGCTAGGCTGCTCGCGAGGAGGCAACCTAATCTAATTTAAGCATGACAAATGGCTGTAAGTCCCCCCACCCCCCGTCCCCTCCAGTGCCAAGATGGAACGGTTACTACCTGTAGTCCATTTTAAGAGCCAGTGAAATGTGGAATCATCTTCCTTCGTTCTATAGCTGGTCCTTGAAGCGCAAACCAGCGGCAGTCGTTTGAAGGCCCCTCCGCCGGCTCCGATTTGGGCATTCGCAGTGTCTTTCTCGACACAGCGCAATTAATTAAGAGATTTTTTTTTCTACCAGAGTTTCCCATTCTTGACCTTTTTGGGGGAAAGGATGCGTTTTGCTGCATCAACAAATTAATTGCAGACCGGAGGCTGCTTTCCATATGACGTTCCATGTCTCAGGGATCTGTTTTTGGAGCAGGAGAAAGGAAAGGTCCAGTAATGTCAACTCATAAAACGTTCCTATGCCTGTTTTAGTAAGTTGCCATTAAAAAAAGCGGGTGTGGGGGGAAGGAAATCTGGAAGAGCAATTGAAAACAAAAGTACATTCCAACTCTTCTCTTTAAAAGATTGTAACTAAACTACCAGAGCTTCTGCCCGTGAATATATTTAATTGGAGAATGTGATTGATGACACACCCAGCCTGCGAACGGGCTCAATTGGAGAATCTGATTGATGACACACCCAGCGGGAGGGAGGAAACAGGGTCACAGTGGACTGTAAATGACGTATGCCAGAGTTGGCTCCACACAGGGCAGGGCCAGTACGTCACCTCCAATAGATCCTTTGCAGTTTTTTGAAGTTTGGCTCGAGAATCGTGATTTAATAAGGGCGATTGCTGGAATCCTGACACGGTATTCAGAGTACAACCCCTCCCCCGCATGCCATCCATCATCCCTATTTTGTGACCTATTTTGGCAGATCAATACAGATAGTCCTCAACTTAGGGCCATTTGTTTAACGAACGCTTGAAGTTACGATGACATTTGGGGGGAGAAAAGTGGACCTGGGATCGGTTTTCACACTTAGCGACCGTTGCAGTGGTCACGGGACCAAAATGCAGATGCTCGCAAAGACAACTTGTATTTTATGATGGTCGCAGCAATCCCTGGGGACACATGATCTGCTTGTACAACCTTCTGACAAGCTGGGGTCACCGGGGAGCCATCCGGATTCGCTTAACAACCAGGCGACTCACTTAACAGCTGAAGTGATTTTGTTTAAGAACGGGAGACAGGCAAAGTCAGTGGGGATAGCCAGATTCGCTTAACAACCAGGTGACTCATTTGAGAACTTGC